TCCAATATGGACATCTCTCTAAAACAAGTACGACTCCAGCATGGACACCTTCCTAGAAAGGCCCACCTCTGACCTTTCTAATAGGGACACATCCACAATAAATACAGCTTTATAATATGGACATTTATCTGAAACAGACATATCTCAAATACAGACACTTCTCTAATAACAACACCTCTATAACAACACCTCTATAAGAACACCTTTCAACTAATTTGTACACCTTTCTAATAGGGACAGCTCATTAATATGGACTCTAAAATGCAGTTCTCCATGTCCTGAAAAAATTCTTACATACATTCGTATAAATTACATACATTCATATAAATTCTTATATCCTTATATATTTCCTGAAAATGTCATTGGTCATGAAAAAATTTCATGACCAAATTCACCTGGTGGAAAACAGGCTTTATCCTCATTATTACAGAATTCCTGGTCATTAGGTGGGACATATACTAGACAAGGCATTATAGAAGTTTCTTTCAATCCTCATTGATTAAAATTTACACTACAACTATCCAGATTTGCCAATGTTAAAACTGCAGTAACTTAACACACAAGTGGCAGCACTCTCCCATTGACAAGTAAAATTGTCTGGCATTAGCCAGATTAAAATAATAAATGCAACTTAACGAGTTAATATTCCATTATTTTTTACATTTCTTAGAGAGGAGTTGCCCAGAGCAAGCCATCGACTACATTACGCCGACATTGTGAATGCCAAAAGTACTTGGTATATAAATGGATTAATGAAATAATTGTAATACTCCTCTTAACCAATCAGATTGCAGTAATTTTGTCATGTATATAATAAGTAACGTTATAAACAGTAACTGTATTTTGTATTTATATAAAAATGAAATTTTTCTTTGTAATTTTGGGATGGGCCAACGTGTCACAATTTCGTATAAACTATAAAATACCATGTAAAGTGACTTTAATATTGTTATTCGTGAAGTGTGAAGCACTATTTAATATGGTATATTATAACTGTTCCAAAATGTAAACAATAATTAACAATTATAACATACAGTAAGATTTATACATTTTTATACATGAATACATAATTTTTTACCTTGCCAGGAACTCCTCTGTGATCTGTACTGCCTTGCCAAAATCTCCGAGCAAAACCACGAATTTGACCCACGACCTTTTCCTTGTAAGGAAAGTTAGTTTTCCAAATTAAAGACCCGTAGCCAAAAATCCACATATCTTGCTTGCCGTCTGCCATGATCGAATATTTTTATACTTGACTTTTATAGACGAGTTTTTTCCAAAAAATATTTCACATTTGTAGACGATAAAAATCGTTTAAATAGAACGACCTTGAGACCTTATAGAAACGTTTATTTTGAGAATATTACCATACAAAACTACGGCAAAACGAGCTCAAAATTCCAAGGTTATCACAAGAATTCGAGCGAGAACGCCGGTTTGTAAAAGTGTCAATTTACTTCCGTTGGAAAAGTAATGAATTAATGTTATGACGTAAGAATACATTAATGACGTCAATGAAAGCTCATTTTTAGGGGGTGGGGAGCACTTTCTCCTGGGCCCACAACAATCTCGTTCCCCGAGCCTGCGATCCTCGGGAAGGAATCGAAGGCTCTGGGATAATCCGTTACCGGAAGCCAAGAATCATGGCTAAGATTGAACTACGCATTCCATATCAATAATGGCCAATCAGATTCCTCCCTGAAACGGATTATCCCAGAGCCTTCGGTTCCTTCCCGAGGATCGCAGGCTCGGGGAACGAGATTGGGCCCACAACTCAAAATGGGCTCCCAAAGTAACGAAGGCCCTTACAATTTCTTGGTAGTTGCGTTAGTGCCTGGCTGATAATAGGCCTTTTTTACTGAAAATAGGGATTTGCAAAACGTCAAAAAATATGTCGCAAAAATGAGTTAAATGGTGCGACATGGTGAACAGTGGCATTTTCAAAACAACGGAACATGTTACTACTGGTCGCGGCTGGATGACATTGAAATTATCGTTCGTAAAACATTATAAATTCGGTACAAAAAACATTCACCCTTTGAAAGTGATAATGAGAAAAATGTACATGAAAAATAACGCGTTGTTTGTTAAAGTTTGAAAAGACAAGTTAGAACGTACATTTTCGACGACTCATATTTATATATGGGCCTTTATATATGTAGAAGAAAATATGCCAAAGATATTTACAATATTATATTATCATAATTGATAATGTGAGGCGAGCAGCAGAATTCAGTCACAATTTACAAAGAAGTAAAACAAACCATCCCAATAAAACAAACCGCCTCCTATACATAATACTCGAGATACTTCGAGATCTTGTATGGAATAAATAGATAAATTGAATGAAATAACTCCAAGGCAGTTTATTTATTTTTTCTCCGAAGGTTCACGAACAAGGCTGAGCAACTTATCCATCTTGGCAATTTCATTCTCTGGACCTTTTGCCTTTTCCTACCGAAAAAAACAAAACAAAACAGTAAAACCAGGGTCCTGAGAAAGATCGCGACTCTTCAGAGAGAATCATTATAATACTTATCTATTGTAGTTCAATACCTTCGGTGCTGTCGCTTTCCTCAAATTTGGCGAAAGTTTAAGTGATGAAACATAACCTCTGAGAAATAGAAAATTCCAACATGAATTTACTTTTTGGGATGGCTAAAAATGGACGAAAAGTTAAGACTGCCTTACTGGATCAATATATTTCACCAGGTATCCAGTATTATCATGTGATCAAAATAAAGCAATATGGTTGGCTAATTTACTCATGAATTATTAATGAGTTTGAAATACAGATATGACAAATATTTCAGTACGAACATAAAGTTTCATAAAATTTCAGTAGGAACATACAGAATTTCAACTCTACCTGTCGTCTCCTGCTATAACTAAAGGATGAATAGGATTGAACGATAGATGTGTCAATTTCGTTTTCTTCTTAGCAACAACTGAAAAAGAAGATTATTTTAACCTGCAACTTTTCAAATAGGACAACTTGGAAATTTGGAATAATTTTGCGGTATTCTTACTAGATTGCTCGCATATCGGTTCATATTTATTGATAACAAGATCATACACGTGAACCTAAAGCAAACGATACAACTGTCAATACACACTAATTTAAGGAAACCAATTTCACTCTTTCAAACCTTTTCGCAGAGTGATATTGTAATGTAACTATTAAGCCTATCTCCCGAATAACCCCTCCCTCCCCCCCCCCCATTACACCCAACTGAAATTCTGGTTACATGGGAGCTAGTTCAACACACCTTGCCATCCGCAGTGACTGCAGCAAATACCGTGGAAGCATAGGGAGCCCAGGCAACATCTCCAACGGAATTATTGAGATCAAAGGTAAACATTGGCTCGCTGAAAAGAGTACAAGGTGCAGTAAGAACTCCCTAAAGAGTCTAAAATGACTGGTTTTACTAAGTACTATACTGTACTACAACAACAACAACAACAATGACGACAACAGCAACAACAACAACAACACCACCACCATCATCATCATCATCATCAATAGCAACAACAACAACAACAACAACACAAGCAGTAACAACGACAACAACATCATAATCAATAACAACAACAAAACCAACAGTAACAACAACAACAACAACATGCCATCATCATCAATAACAACAACACCAGCAGGAGTAGAAAACAACAACAACAACATCTAATAACAACAAACAAAACGACATTTATCCAAATTGAGCAAAACATTCAACAACAAGTTGCCCACAATCCGTTGTTACTCCATAGCATTGGAAAATGATAAATAACGTACTTGTAAGTATGATCCCAAACTTTAACTGTCCAATCTGCACTGCACGAAATGAACGTTTTTGGGTGGAAGTGATTCCATTTGACAGCATAAACAGCCATGTGATGAGCCTGGTTGAAAAAATATACAAACAACAAATGCAAACAAACACAGCACATTTACAACAAAGTTTAACAATATTCAGAAATTAAAAGTCGTCATTTTAAAACATTTAACGATATCCAAAATACCAACAATATCAATAATAAAAGCCATAGGGTAAGAATGTGAACAAAAATTTGTAAACCTTTCAACACCAAACGATGCATCGCCAAAGGTTGCTATGATATATACTTACCTGAAATGTGGTTAAGAACTGACTTGAATAAGCTTTGGAACATTTATGAATCTTCCCCTCTTCGGTACCTGAGCACAGAGTAAGATTGAAAAATGTACATGCTCCGCATAATTTATGTATAAACCGTCTTGTATCTTTATTCATTGATCTTAGAAAAAATCCAAATAGACTTACCGACTAAAAACAAGTAGTCTGTTGTCTTGTGAAAATCGAACGCAGTTCCACATCCTAAAATGGCATTGAAAACAATGATATTATTTGCCTTGAAATAAAATCCCAAAATAGTTAAACATTTTTTGAAACTTTTGAAATCAGGGTGTCCACCCTTTGGTGAAGGTGAAATTCCAAGACTTTTTGAAGGTGAAATTGCAAGGCCCTTTTTGAGTAAATTCAAGGACCTAGAACTGGGAAAAATCTTTGAAAATGGCAGGGATTTGCCTCACTTTATTCAGTAATTTTAATCAAAATCACTAATGTTGGCACAGCCGGAGGTTAAGGAAATTAATTCCACGACTTTCAAGTACTTTACTGAATTTCACGGACTTTCCAGTCCTGGAATTTTTTTCCAAATCAAGGACTTTCCAGGATTTCCAAGGCCCGCGTGGACACCCTGTAAAATGTACCTCATGGCGAGAGAAAATAAAGAATGTTGAAAAATAAAGATGCAACAAACTAAACCAAAATTTGGCTTAGTTTGTTGCATTTTCGACATTCCTTTTTCTTTATATCATTTTCATTTTCTCAGTGTTAAACTGAACACAAAAATAAACAGACCTAAACTTTCCAGTTTTGAGCCATCTCCTTCATTAGACTGACTTGCATTCATCTTCAATGTGATGATATCCGTGTAATGAAGCTCACTCTGTAAGAAATATTTCAAAATCAAAGTGAGATGAACTGGATAGAATTTAAAAACTTCATACTTTCGAATCATATGGATATCTCTGCAATAAAATTTACGTACAAATTTTTTTCAAATTCAAAATCTCTTCCAATTTAAAAATTGTGAATCGATGAGAGATTTTGGCAGATAGCTTACCACGAAAGTCTAAACCTCCAAGGATCCTTACTTGACAAGTAAAATCATCTGGCATTACACAAAGTTCTGAGCTTTTCTTGAGAAATTTTTTTATAAAATTTCCATATATAATTATAATATATTGTAAGTTCTTACACAGAACAGTGCGTCATGGGAAAATAAACGCGTGCTCCAAGGACTAGGGACTAGTCTGATGACATGAGTGAAACCCGCCTACAGACTTGAACGTTATCAATCCAATCAAATAGTTAGGCATAAATAAGTGCTCAAACAGCAAAACAAACCAGCTACCAAAATCTAACAATTTAGAATAAGATCTCACAACTAAAATGAAAGTGAATTAATCGGATTCAACGTCATCTGACGACATCGTGACCATAGATTATAGATCATACCAGATGTCTCACTCAGCCAAAATTGTGTCCGCGATTTTTTATGAGCACTCGTTGGCCGCCATTTTGGCAGTAAGTGTAATCCACGCCATGAAACGTGACGCGTCATCTGGCGTGATAGCCTCGCGAAAATCGCGGACACGAAAATCATAGAGATAGATACACAGTAAGACATCTGGGGCCGGTTGTATCAAGCCCATTTAGCTTAAACGGTGGATAAGTCAAAATAAAATAACACTCTTTTCTTTCTCGTGAATCAGTCAACTTAAATATTCTGCACTGAATATGTAGTTGCAAACATTATCGTTCTATTAAAGTTCAAAACGTTTAGTTTGGTTGTTGAATGAATCTATAGACTTGCTTTCTATTTTGAGCTTAACCACTGTTTAAGCTAAACGGGCTTGATACAACCGGCCCCTGGTATGATCTATAATCTATGTCGTGACTAACTAACAACATTCGTCATTAACATTCAAAACCAGAAAAAAAAACAGAAATCGGCCCGATAATCGTTTTGTGTAAACGTAGCTTAACATGATCAACTAAAAATTACCAGTTTAATCTTGACTGTTAGGTTAAACTGACTGTTACGTTTCCTAACTGCATGTAAGGTGATTTGGGAAAGTTCGAGAGTCAGATATGTTGATCACGTATTATATCTTATTTTAGTTCATCCATTGTCGTTATCAATTTGGTCACACAAACAGACTCAGTTGGAAACGAATTCTTCCTGATGTCTCAACAAAAGAAATCAGTCATTGGAACTTCCTTTTGAAATGTCGTAGAATTGCATCTCAGAAATGAAACTAAAATTCTACCTCAAATTATCTTTGTTTCAGCGGTCATTAGAAGCAGTGGACATCTGTTTGTAAGCGAATGTGAAAGAATTTTGAAGATTTTTTGCTGGAAGCTTGACTACAGCGCTTTATTATAAGAAACAAATTTTTCAGCGTCTTTTAAATTATAATTGTTCTTTTGAATTAGATTTGATACAATGCTTATTGTTAGCACATATCTTGTGACTGTGTACATTTTTTGCATATCTACACAGAACTCGTCAACAAAACATCATCATACAATTGCACATCTCTTAGTACAGGCACAATGGCTGAGACAATCGGAGGTACAGTGTTGAATTTTGGTCTACGTTTTATATCACGTAAAGCCACTGAGAAACTCCAAAATGGAGATCTCGCTGATCAAGAGTTTCGAGATTATATTGTTCGTGAATTGGACGACATCAAGTCTAAAATTAATGCTTTTTGTCGCACGGATCTTTATACGAGCATTAGTGATCTAAAAAAAGGAGTCCAACGTCTGCGAAAATCTTTCGAGAGTAAAACCTCAACTACGTATGAATTACCGAAAGATGGAAAGCAATCACAAGATACAACGAATGCTGGGGCAAGTTCAAGCCAGACGACACCAGCTCAACAGTCCGTGACTGTAGAAGACGCCGTTGCACTTGCCAATGCCATTGGGGAATTAAAGATCGAATCGAAGGAGCGGTTTGAAGCGGCTAAAGAATCTTTCAAGGAAGCAGGAAAAGCAGCAACACGAGCATTTCACAACACAGCACTCAGCACAACCGAAAGAATCCTTGCAACGCAAGTACGCATCGCAAGCGGGATACTGGAAAACCTAGATGATCCAGATTTGGCTGCCAGTGACTGTTTGCACTATCTTGAAGAATTGCATGATATGCCAGCCATCAAGGAAATATTTTCGGTCTATCTTGAAGGAGGAATAAAAGCTGTTTTCAAGAGAGAGTCGCGAGTGGAAATCGTGGAGACCGTAAAGATGATCAACTCCATCTTGGCTGATTTTATCTCGAAGTTTAAAAACCAAAAAATGGCTATTCTTGATTGGCCAATGATAGAATGTGGTGAACGAGTTGTCCTTCCAATTCATTACGAGAAAGAGGACGTACAAAAAATGAGAGAAATGAAAATAACACCACCCTGGGACATTACAAAATATAAAAAATCGATGGGAGATATAATGGACTTTGCTATAAACAGCAAAGGAGATGTAATAGGTGTTTTCAGCGATGATGATCATCCTCGAAAGCTCGACAAAGCAACAGGCGAGTGGCAGCCGTTCTGTCTTTCTCCTTCGAATGATAAAATGTGGCCTGATAAATCTGTAGCTATCGATGACAATGATACAGTGTACGTTGTGTCGTTTAAAGCCGGTTCATTCGAAACGTTATTAGTTTACAGCTCAGAGGGAAAAATTACTCATTACTGCACTTTCGACTTCATTAAAACAGCAGAGCCCCTTGGCATTACTGTGAACGAAGACAGAGAGATTATTATTTATGGTAAATATACACATTACTTCATGGGAACACTTACTTTTCAGGAAAACACTGTGTATGTATGTGACAGCACTGGAAAACTAATCAAAAGTATTCCCACTCGTAAGTCTGTAGGTTCCGTGTTGCGTGCGTTTGTTCCTGGCGAAAAATCAGCGGATAAAGAAATAATAGTCGCAACTTGCGAGAATCGTTACGACATTCTGTTTCGAGTGTATACACAAGCAGGAGAGTTAAAAAAGACGATTAATTGCATTCCACAACTGGCAAGTCCCTCTACCGTTGAGGTATTACGTTCGTTTAATCCGGATCGGCTCGTAGGTACGGTCGTTGGATTGACGGCGAACGCCATACAGGCCATACAGGAACACTTTGTGAAAATCTATAGGTTATAGAATGGAAATTGTATATGGACCTTTATTGGA